ATAGTCTCTTATCAGTCCTTTAGGGAGTATCTCACACTTACTGCCTCCTTTGGGAAGCTATCATCAACCCCTTCCATATAATTCCAACTGCAGCTAATGTGGAGAGACCACCGCTTGCTTCGCCAGTTCATGGGGAGGAAGACCGAGACTTACGAGCTGACGGTTCAGTCTCTTAACAGTGTCCTTCGTCGGCGCAAAACTTTTATTTTCTAGAAGACTCGGGGTAGGGGAGCAGACTTTGTTCTGCCTTGAATGCCTCTGCGGATGGAATCGTGGATTCCATCCGCACAGTTCAAAGGCCAGCTCGGGGTAGGTGAGGAGCCCCTTCCTCTGGCAGCCCCACCTCAGCCTGGGAATCTGGCCACAAGCCAAAGGTCCCATGCTTCCCAGCTGGGAAACGACTCCCGCTTTCTTTCCATGTTCTGTGCACCTAATGGAAGAGTCTTCCTACCGAGGACTCCGGGAGGACTCCAGTTCCAACCAGAATCTGTTCGGAAGCCTCGAGCAAGGGCTCGGCTGAAAAAGGGGGGGAAGGAAGAAAGAAAAAGAGAAGACATCTTCGGGACGTGGGGCGGCTGCCGAGCTCTGTCACTGGCAATAAAGCCCCTTTGAAAAATGGCCTCCAGCCACCTGCCCTCCCCTTGACGAGAGGAGCTGCCAGCTGCGTCTTGCATTCGCCTCTGAGACCCTGGCAAGGGGCTTATTCCTCCCAGCAGGACCTGTGAGACCCAGGGAAACCCTCGTTTCCTTTTAGAATAACCCGGCTTTTCTCTTCTCCTTTGAGGAGGAACCAGCCGTCATTCCTCGCTGCTGGGAGTGACGGGTGGCCCCTAAATTGTGGCCGAGCTGTTTGGCAGGGGCTTCCAGTTTTTTTCTCTGCAATGGGGAGGCCGAGGAAGCTAAATCTTCGGGGGTGGGGTGGGAAAACCACCAGCCTTCCTGATTTGCAAGCTGCAGCTCGGTGGATCTGTACGCGAGAGGAACGATCAGCCGTGGCTAAGAACCCTGCAGGGCAGAATCAAACTCAGCAGCCATGGATTCTGAGCCGCGGTGGTGCAGTGGTTGGAGTGCAGAACCGCAGGCTCCTTCTGCTGACTGCTGGCTGCCTGCAATTTGGCAGTTCAAATCCCACCAGGCTCAATGTTGACTCAGCCTTCCATCCTTCCGAGGTGGGTAAAATGAGGACTCAGATTGTTGGGGGCAAGAGGCTGACTCTGTAAAACCGCTTAGAGAGAGGGCTGTAAAAGCACTTTAAAGAAGTATATAATTCTAAGGGCTATTGCTTTTGCTAAGGAGGTAGATCCTGGTTGAGTTGTGGGAATGTCAGCTAAGCAATAAAAACAGGTGCATGGACTGTGGCGGCATAGTGCTTAGAATGCAGTATTGCAGGCTAATTCTGCTGACTGCCAGGGGTTCAATCCTGATTGGCTCAAGGTTAACTCAGCCTTCAATCCTTCTGAGGTTGGTAAAATGAGGACCCAGATTTTCGAGGGCAATAGGCTGACTCTGTAAACCGCTTAGAGAGGCCTGTAAAAGCACTGTGAAGCGGTATATAAGTCTATTGCTATTCTTTACGGTGTTAACCAAGCCACTTCTGCAGTTTCCCCCATCTACCCAGCCAGATGAGTAAATATAGGTAATCCTTGGCTTACAACCACAATTGAGCCCAAAACATCTGTTACTAATCAAGACAGTTGTTAATGGAGTCATGGGATCAGAGGATATTGCAAGCAGATATATAGGTGGCTCGATTGCTGAGCGTCCAACCTGTAGTCACATGAGTGGGTGGCCACCATCACAACTTTGAATCTGGGTTGTAAGTAAATCCCCCCCCAAAATACAGGTAGTCCTCAACGTACAACACTTCACTTAGTGACCGTTCAAAGTTGCAAAGGTACTGAGAAAGGTGACTTGTGACCGTTTTTCACACAGCATCCCCATGGTCACGTGATCGAAATTCGGATGCCTGGCAACCGATTCATCGTATTTATGTCGGTTGCAGGATCCCCGGGGCTCATGGGATCCACATTTGCGACAAGCCAGAACAACTGTGGCATAGGAAGGTTGTGAAATGGGGCGAAACTCACTTAACAAATATCTCGCTTAGCAACTGGGCTCAGTTGTGGTCGTAAGTGAAGGACTGCCGGTAAGCCTGTTGTCGTTTCAAGCAGCCCACGAAGTCAAGGACCATCGATATAAATCTGATCAATCGAATGTCCTTTTCCAGTGGGCCTCAGCCTCAGTTCTATCTCTGCATTAACATAAGTCGTGATGGGTCTCTCTCTCTCTCTCTCTCTCTCTCTCTCTCTCTCTCTCTCGCCTAGTGTTCTTCAACATGCGGCAAAGGCCTTCAGTCCCGTGTGGTCCAGTGCATGCACAAAGTCACAGGTCGCCATGGCAACGAGTGCCCCACCTTCTCCAAACTTGCAGCCTATCGCCAGTGTCACCAACAGGCTTGCAACGAGAAAATCAACGTCAACACAATTACTTCCCCAAGACTCGGTCAGTATGCTTCCCCTGGGTTTTGAATTCTGGACTCTCTATCTGTCACCTTCCTCTCTCAAAACAAACTTTAGAAGCCCGGATTTTTTTAAAAAAATTCAGTGTCCCTCTGCTGGGTCTCACATTTGTTGTGACTTTGCCAATGAGCTTTTCCTTTTTTTTCTCGCCCAGGAAAGTTTTCCACCTAAAAAAAATTTAACGGAAGGAAACACCGAGAATTATATACACAGCATACTTTTGAAGTTGGTAGGTGTGGGGAATCCAATTCCCAGAATTCTAAACATGCCATGAGATTCTGAATCAGGTCTTGATTCAGAACACAACTGGAATTGGCCAGGTTATGAAACAGATCATTACGGACTAGATAGAAAGGAGATGGATGGACGGATGGATGGATGGATACCTGACAGTGAGTGTGATTAATCGGTGGAACAGCTTGCCTCCAAAAGTTGTGAATGCTCCAACACTGGAAGTTTTTAAGTAGAGGTTGGATAACCATTTGTTTGAAATGGTATAGGGCTTCCTGCCTGAGCAAGGGGTTGGGCTAGAAGACCTCCAAGGTCCCTTCCAACTCTGCCATTCTGTTAGAGAAGAGAGGAAGGAAGGTGGCAGGTGGGCAGAGAGCAGATGATAGCAGGAAGGATAGACAAATTGTTGTGGCCCTTCAGCAGCGGAATGAGATGAGGAGGCGGCGTGGGATTCAGGCCAGCATCAAGGCAACCTGAGAGCTCCAAGGGGGAAGAGGGAATGTGTCAGCTGGTGCTCCGTTCAAAATCCAAGAAAGAAATACTTAGACTCCATTAATTAGAGAAAAGATATCTTTTACTGGAAATCAAGTGGTAGCAAAAAAAAAGAATTCTGAATCTGAGAAAATGGGCGCGTAAATCACATATACAAAGTGATGGCAACGTTCCCACCCCCAGTAGTTCAATTGGCTCATCCAATTAAAAGTTGTGTATATCATCATGTGGGCATCTCCAGGTGGTGATGAGGCCTCTGTCCGTTGACCTTGACATATTTTGATAAAGAGTTGCAGCTGCGCATAGCATAGGATAGAAGCCTAAGCAAGAACCTTCCCCCCGCCCCAACTTATACAGTTCTGTTTTGTAACACCTCCGGCTCACTTCCCATAACCATATCCCCGCTCCTACCCCCGTTACTTATGGCAGCCGAAAGATGCAAAGCAAAGGGAGAAAATCTTGAAGGCTGACAGAATGGAGCTGTCAGAGAGAGAGACAGAGGTGGAGCCTGGGCCATCCATCAGCCCTCAGATGGAGAGTCAACAGTCCCCAGGTCTGGAGATGGCTGATGAGGAAGAGAAGGAACAGCTGGGTCCAGTGCCTGATGCACAGATGTGCAAAAGGCAGAGGAGAGGAGAGCAGTGGAAATCTAGGGGCCAGTCCTTGGGACGGAAGAGCCACCGTTGCTAGCAAAGCCCCACCTTAGCTCTGAGGATGAAAGGCAGTAGGGGTGGAGATGAATGGGTGTGGCAGACAACTATCCATCTCCCTGCTGGACAGACTTGTTAGCCTGTGGTGAGAGAGAGAGAGAGATTTTGCCGTGGCTGCTGGCGCTCCTAATAAAGGAATCATTGAATTAACCAAAGAGGGTTTGTCATGTTTGGGAGCTGGGTCAGAACACCGATAGATGGCACTCTGCCATTTCTCTAGAATTATGCTTTTCCTAAAGGAAAGCAACGGCATAATTTCTTCTTCCAACCTTCTCTCTCTTTTTTCTTAAAAGCTGCTCTGACCTATAAGTGCACGGGAGACCAGTGGGCCATTTATTGTCGAGTGATCCGGGAGAAGAACCTCTGCCAGGACATGAGATGGTACCAGCGCTGCTGTCAAACCTGCAGAGACTTCTATGCAAGCAAGATGCAGCAGAAGAGTTCATGAAATCTGCCAAGGCTCCTTTAAGGGAATTTATAGCTCACTTGTACTTCTTCCTACGCTATATCGTTAACTTATGGAACTCGTGGCCACAAGACGTGGCAATGCCTATTTCAGCTTAGATTAGATAAAAATTATAGGGGAATTGGGTCTATTGATGGTGAATAGCCATGACAGCTAAGTATAGAGCCTCTACAGAGAGAGGTCAATCTACTTTTGAAATGCAAAAACAACACATTGGAAGGCCATCATCACCTTTTGCACGGCTGGACATTATTGAAAAGAAGAACCTGGACAGAGATGGACCTTGATTTGATTCAGCAAAGTCAATTGCATCCAAAAATTTCAAACGCAAATAATCTGTTTCATTTCCAACACAAGTGACTCACCTCCGATGAATTCCAGGGCTTGCCTAGGAAGACTTGAAGCTCCTTTTGCAGACTGGAATGAAATGAAAGCAAAGTCACCACAGAAAGAAAGAAAGAAAGAAAGAAAGAAAGAAAGAAAGAAAGAAAGAAAGAAAGAAAGAAAGAAAGAAAGAAAGAAAGAAAGAAAGAAGGAAGGAAGGAAGGAAGGAAGGAAGGAAGGAAGGAAGGAAGGAAGGAAGGAAAGAAAGAAAGAAAGAAAGAAAGAAAGAAAGAAAGAAAGAAAGAA